GCCGCCGCCCCCTCCACCCCCTCCACCACCACCTCCTCCGCCGCCACCTCCTCCACCCCAGCCCCCCTTGCCCTTGCCGCCCTTGCACCTCCCACTGGGAGCGAACGCAGCTCCGACCCCCTCAGCACCAAGGTAGTCGACAGCAGCAGCAGATGCAATGGAGGGGAGAAGGGGGGACGGGGAGCATCCCTCAAAGAAGAGAGTGCGAGGGTCGCCACGAGAGGCACCTACAGCTACAACGCTCCTCTTAGCTGCTAGGAAATCCTTCTCGAGCAGGTCGACAGTGAGGTCTGTGGGGGAGAGAGCTAGAAAGTGGTCCCTAACAGCGCAAAGAGAGTCAAGGAGGCGAGTGACTAGGTGGTAGAGGGTGAGGTACATCGAGGGGGGGTTCTTGGCTAGGAAATCGGGGGGGATTGCGGCATGGTAGCGGAGATCACTAGTACGGAGGTGAGTGATGAGGTCATCTACAGTGGCAAAGGCAGACAGATCGGGGAAGAGGTAGGGCAGTGAGAGACGGCCTATCGCAGCAGTGGCAGAGGAGGAGTAGCGTGCAACTAGAGTATCGTACAGCTCCTTAGCGGTTTTATGCTGGCCAAAGTGCTCGCGCTCATCTAACGGTAGGTGGCTGCAAACGGCTAGGCGAGCATGAGCATCGCGAGTCTGCCACTGTGAGCGAGCAGTACTGTCAGCAGTAGCACCAGGTGCGGGAGCGGCACCGGACGTGTGGTCATAGAGGGAAACATCGTCCTTGGCAGTGATCTAGAGGTACAGGTGAAGGTCATCGAGCCAGACATCGAACTTAATCGGACGGCCCTCAGCGTCAAAGGTGAGAACAGTAGGAGTGGCCATAGTGGCAGTAACAGTAGTAGTAGTAGCAGTAGTAGCAGCAGCAGTAGTAGCAGTAGCAATAGCAAGAACAGGAGCAGTAGTTGCTGCAGGTGGGGCGGCGCGGCTCGGTCAGGGCGGCGCGATTCGGGCGGCGTGGCTCGGGCAAGGCGGCGCGGCGCGGCTCGGACTACACTACACGGCACGGCGCGACGGTGGGCCTGTGCGCGGGTGGCTGTAGCGGGCGGTACGCGGCTGTGCGTGGGCTGCAGTTGCGTGCGGGCGGCGGCTTGCGAGGGCGACGCGGCCTACGGGCGGGGCTGCGGGCCGCTAGCGGGCTACGCGCGGCCAGAGGGGCCGGTTGACGGGCGGCTAGCGGGCTGCTCGTGGTGACATGGGCGGCTAACGGTCGGTGCGCGGGCAAAAACGGCCGCGCGCGAGCTGCTAGTGATAGTTGTTTTGGTAGGCTTTAGTGACTTGTTTGTTATGGAGTACAAACAACTTCTCAGTTCCCTGCTTGTGCCCCCCTTCCCTCACTAGTCGATTTTCCCCTTAGTTCTTAAGGTGGTATCATTAATAGGAAATTCCTAACCTGTTCCTAGCTTAGTGACGTGCCCCGTCCCGTCCCTTAGCGCCCCGCAAACCCTCCCGTCCAGTCCTATAGCGCCCCGCACACCGTACCGTCCCGTCCTGTCCCATCCTGTACCGTTCCGCGCACGTTGTCACTTACGCAGCTAGCAGACGCGCGCTCTAGCGCGCGCATGAAGCCACGCCACGCACGCATAGCCGGTCGCACGCACGCGCAAGCACAGCCGCGCGGACTTAGCATGCACTATAACCGCACGCAGAGTAGCTACCCGCGCCCGCAACTGCAGCAACCGCACGCGCAGCAACTGCCGCACGCCTGTGCCTCTTCTACACATAGACAACACCCACCCTCCCAGCAGTACCTACTACCTACTACAAGCCTCCTGTCGTAGGCCTTCCTAGCAATGGGTGGCAATCGCAATTGACTCTCCTCGTGAAGTTTCAGGCTCGTACCTTGTTCAGCCTCACACTCCTAGCCTAGTTTCTCTGACATACCTAGCTTGGTATGTCTTATTCTGTTTTCTCCTGCCTCCGGTCGCTCCTGGCGCATAGGATGGCGTCCTCTCGAGTGTTACGTTTTGACGGTTAGGGCCGCCCGATCGACTTTAGTACGTGGCTTACCCATGCCCAACGCCACCTCAGGAGTCAGCATAAGGATGGCTTCAACCTCTTTGCTTACGCGCCTGACACTCTCCAGGCCCCTCCGCATCCTAGTTCCCTACCCACTAAGACTTCTCCCACCGCTGATCAGCAGCCTGATTACGATAGGTTGTGATGTCTGGGATCTCGCGACGCCGCTACCTGCACGCCCTCACCGACCTTTCCCCACCGACCGAGGCCATCCACTTCTCCCAGTGCGACTCGGCAAAGAACCTGTGTGACACTATTGTTGCTCGCTATACCCTTCCTCAGCCTCCCTCAGCCGCCTCCTCATGCCCTTAGTGTTTTCTGACCTGGGCTCGTTCAAGACTGTCTCCGATCTTGTCACGAATCTCTGCTCTCTTGACGCTAGCTTTCGTGCTGCCTGCACCAAGGACCAGCTCAAACTTGCCCCCCGCCTATGTGGCTCACCCTTCACTGGTTTGTCACTCACCTCCTTCACCACCTCTCCTCTACCCACGAGGCGCTTCTCCTCAAGCACCTCAATGAGCTCACTATCAATCTTCTTGAGTCCACCCTGAGGAAAGTAGAACGAGAATGAAATGACTATGGAATGCAAGTGATACAAATATGCAACCCTAGAAATGTGTACCCCATATGAGCTACCCCACTACAGCCTACAACAGATTATAATTTGACACACCCCCATAGGCAAAGTGGGGGAGAACAAGGGGTCACAAGACCAGTCAAGCAAAGCAAAGCAAAGCTCAGGGTGGATCACAAGGTCACCACACATTCCGAGCACAAGTTCAAGGCCAGAAGGCCAGTTCACATGCAGGAGCACATATATATATAAGAGGCTAAGCAAGCAAGAGCAAGAGTATATATATGTGACAGTACAAGCAAGGTCAAGAAGTGAGCAAGTGAGGCAAGACAGGCACAAGACCAAGCTGAGTACAGAAGCGCTGATGATCACAAGGCGCAAGCGCCTTGGTTAAAACATCAGCAGTGTTGGCCTCAGAGGCCACGTACGCAAGTCGCAACTGACCACGCTGCTGTAGCTCACGAGCAAGGAAGTAGCGGAGAGCAATGTGCTTTGTTCTGTGCTCCAGTCTCTGCTCTCGACACAAGGCCAGCATGGCCTTGTTGTCTACGTACAGGACTGGAGGAGAACGAGGCGGCTCTCCAAGATCGGTCAGAAGGTAGGTGAGCCAGCGAAGCTCCTGTGCAGCCATGGCCCCGGCGTAGATCTTAGCCTCACAACTGGAGCCGAGAACAGAAGACGAGCGAGTAGCCCGCCACGAAACAGAGCCGGAACCAAGGCTGAAGGTGTAACCCTGTGACGACCGCTGCGTAGCCTGGTCGTCAGCCCAAGAAGCGTCCGCGTGCCCAGTGAGGACCACTGGACTCCGCCCTCCAAGCACTAGCCCCATGCCCGACGTACTGCACAAGTAGCGCAACACCCTCTTCGCTGCAGCCATGTGCTCTGGTCGGTGTCTCCCAGGAGCAACATAGCGTGCAAGAATGCTAAGAGGGTATGCAAGGTCAGGTCGTGTGCAGGTCATCAGGTACATGAGGCAACCAACAAGCTCTGGATACGGGCCACTCGACTCTACAGACTCATCCGAAGGCAGAGCTAAGAGTGAGTGGCGAGTAGGCAGAGGAGTGGCCTGAGGCGAGGAGTACGTGAAGCCGAAGCGCTGAAGGACCTGCTGCACCATGTGTGACCGAGTCAGGGTAATGGTGCGGCGTGCTCTGTCCCGGGTGATCTGCAAGCCAAGGTAGCTGCGCAGTTCACCCAGGTCAGTGCACGTGTGTCTCTTCTGCAGCTCATACTTCACGTAGGCGAGTCCAGCAGTGTCAGCTGTGGCAAAGACCAAGTCGTCAACGTACACGAGGATGTAGTACGGCGGCAGAGAGTTGTCGGTGCGCAGAAACAGCGACGGGTCGGTAGTAGAAGGAGCAAACCCAAGAGCCGCAAGTGTAGTCCTCAGTGTGTCGTGCCACTCACGTGGTGCCTGGCGGAGACCGTAGACTGGACGCCGGAGACTCCACTGGGTACCAGGAGGGAAAGACCCAGTGAAGCCAGGTGGGCGGCGCAGCCAGATCTCCTCGTGCAGGCTGCCCTGCAAGAAAGCAGTGCTGAAGTCAAGAGAGTGCAGCTCGTAGTCACGGTGAGCAGCAACGTGCAGAAGTACCCGAAGAGTGGTCATCTTCGGGGTGGGGAAGAAGGTCTGAAAGTAGTCAACTCCCTGTCGCTGACTGAAGCCACGAGCCACGTAACGCGCCTTGAAGACAGGCGGAGAACCCGGCGGCCGCTTCACCCTGAAGATCCACATGCCACTGACGATGTTCGCCCCAGGAGGGGGGACAGCGTCAACGTAGGTGCGTGTGGACTTCTAGGAAGCCATCTCTGCATCCATAGCTGCCTGCCACTGAGAGGAGTAGGGACCCTCTATCGACTCCGCGTAAGAGCGCGGAGTCGGGATGTCAAGTGCATCCGGGTCTCCCTCAGGGGTAAGCAGTACGGACACGAGATGAGGTGAAGCAGCGGCCAAGCACTGGAACTCCTCCTGCCTGTCCTCAAGGACGTCCGTGCCAAGGGCACACTCACCCCCGACGGACGGAGGACAGACAGACGCAGACTCAGCGATAAGACTAGCAGCGTAGTCTAGGCGACAGCGAGCAGCAAAGTCGACGAGCTCAGTGACGAGGGCAGACGCAACAGTAGACTCGAAAGAAGGGTCAGTGAGGACAGTAGCAAGGAGACGCGTGACAATAGGACTGGCAGCACAAAGAGAGTCCGACTCCGGGTCGGCAAGAGCAGGAAGAGAGGGCTCAGGAGGAGAAGGCAAAGGGGCACGCAGAGGAGCAGTAGACGGACGCAGAGACATCCGGTGCATGCCAGGGACAGGAGGAGGACGCTGACGCGAACCGCGACCACTACCGCGAGAGCATGAACAGGCGACGCAGGACGAGACGCAAGCTCACGACGCTCAGTAAGACCTCTAGTAGGACCACCGTAGGGAGAGGGAGCAGGCAAAGGGGAGGCAGGCTGTAGCTGTGACTGTGACGGGACAGGCTCGGGACCCTCTAAGGGAGGAGGAGGACTAGTAGAAGGTGGAAGACCAAGAACCTGCTGCAGGAGTGGAACGAAGTACGGTCGAGGCCGCGTGGCGACGCCAGTGCGCACGCTCGCATGTGCGCGCAGACGATTGGCCCGACTTGTCTCATTGGCCATCCGTCGGCTGTTGTCTGCGCTTGACGAGCCACATCGACTTTGAGATACCTGCCCGAAGTCGCCTTCGCCATCGCGACCTCGACGACGTTTGCGGTACCTCCAGCAGCTCCAGAACCTCCAGCAGCACCAGGAGCACCCCCAGCAGGACCGCCAGTGGTAGTCTCAGCGCCAACACCCTCAGCAGTACCAGCTCCAGTCGAACCTGCAGGCCCAGCAGCTCGAGTACTCCCAGTACGAGCACCTCCGGGACCCGCGACAGCAGCACACTCAGTAGCCGAAGAACCTCCAGCACCAGCAGCACGGCTCCAGCGCCGGGCAAACCACTCGCGCAGCTCCAGCGGAGAGAGTGGCTCCCGGCGAGACGAAGCACCCGGAGAACCTCCAGGCGGAGCACCTCCAGGCTCAGCACCCCCAATCCCAGCACCCCCAGTCAAAGCACCTCTAGGCGTAGCACCCCCAGGCCCAGCACCCCCAGGCTCAGCACCCCCAGGCTGAGTACCCCCAGGCTCAGCACCCCCAGCCTCAGCACCCCCAGGCTCAGCACCCCTAGGCTCCGCACCCCCAGACCCAGCACCCCCAGGCTCAGCACCCCCAGGCTCAGCACCCCCAGTCTCAGCACCCCTAGGCTCAGCACCAGAGTCACCAGTGACCTCGACAGGCTCGACTGCGTCTACCTGGGAAACACCTAAAGGGGCAGGACCCTGAGGGGGGAGGGGGTCTACCGGGGGGGGACCTGGTACAAGGTAGAGCGGGGGCGGGGGGAGGGACGGAGTGTGGTAGGGGAAGAGGCGGTAGTAGGGGACCGACTCGTCTAACATGACGTCCTGGGAGGACAGAATACGGCGAGAGGTGGGGTGGTAAAACTGCCACCCAGGCGCGTCGGGGGGGAACTCCAGGAAGACGCAAGGAGCAGCGCGAGGGGACAGCTTGTCCGCAGACAAGTCGCGGAAAAACGCCCGAGATCCCCAGACCCAGAACGCCGACGCATCGCCAACCTTCCCCGTACACAGCAGGGTTGGGGAGGTCTCCGGCCTGGAGACCCCGGGGTGAAGGTTGATCTGTTGCACCGCGTACCTGACCGCAAACGGCCACAGAAAATGGGGGGCTGCCGCATGCATCATAGACGTACGAGCGACGTCCATGACCATGCCAATGCGGCGTTCAGCAATCCCATTTTGCTGCAGTGAGTCCAGAGCGTGAAGGTCTGACGGATGCCTCGTGCACGTCAGTAGGCTCGCAAAAGGCCAGAGGAGAACTCTCCGCCTCTGTCCGAGTGCAGACGCAGAACAGGAAAGTTCGAGCCAAAGCTCTGCCTGAGCTGGAGACGAGCTGCGCGGATCCAGTCGATCAGCACCTCAGTGACATCACCCTTGCTGCGCAAGGGGAAGACTGTGGTGTAACGCAAGTAATCGTCAACAACGAGTAGGAAGTAGCGCTCGTGACCCTGTCCACGGACGCGGGCTGGGCCCCACACGTCCATGTGAAGCGTCTGCAACGGGGCCTCTGTCGGAGGAAACTGGGAGGAGTGAGGGGCAGCACGCTGGTGCTCCTCGACACAGGGGACACAGGCAGGGCCAGGGCCATGAGGAAGGGGAGGGAGGGACCGGGGCAGCCCAGACACAAGAAGACGGGAGGCCATGCCTCTGAGCCGAAGCAGAGAGGGGTGACCAAGGCGGTGGTGCCAGAGGAGACTCTCGTGAGACAAGAGACGACACGAACAGGGGGCAGACTCAGGACCAGACCTGGACGCTGCAGCAAACACCTGACCCGACGCAGCTACCCTACTAGACTCAGCAACGGGAGGAGGCGCAAGGGTCAGTGTGTACAGGCTCGACCCCGGCTGACGGGTAAACGTAGCCAGGTGTCGGCCTGTGCTAGCCTCGGTGCAGTGCGTCACCCGCTGGCTCGCAGGAGTGAACTGGTGGACACCCGCATCCTGTAGGTCAGCACCACTCACCAGGTTCGTAGAGAACGAGGGGAGGTAGAGACCAGACAGGGTGCCAGAGGGAGCCGTCTGACACGGGAGGACTGTAGAGAAGCGAGACAGGACAGGGCCCCCAGAGGGGTCAGCCAGAGACACCGCAACCGGCCGACTAAGCGGCGTGAGTGTGGTGCGGTCCCGAAAGAAGGAGCGAGAAGGCCCAGAGTCAAGGGTGAAGGTGAGGGAGGCCAAAGCCGACGTAGTACCTGAGAGCGCAGACTCACCAGTACCTGAGGGCGCAGACGCACTGGCACCTAGAGCAGCAGCCTCACCAGCACCTAAAGCAGCAGTACCAATGCCCGGGTCGGGCGGGAAACACCGGTAATAGTCACAGCATACATGGCAGCAAGGATAGCATCAAAGTCAAGATCATAGATAGCTACGCCTGCCCTAGACAGCTCTCCCCAGCAGGGGATCTCACTGGCCTCTGGGAACTGCTGACGCCAAGCGTCCGTCAGGCGGCCAAAGCAGCGCTGGGTGGGGTGGGCACCCCCACACTGCTCACCCGCGCGGTCGCCGGTGCGAAGGACGTAGGTGCAGGGACCAATGCCCCCACCACGCTGACGTTGCGTGTACCACTCACGGAGCTGCTGAGGGTGGGGGATGTCCCGAGAACGCTGCTGCTGGCGCTGACCACCACCAGTGCTGCTCCGCTGCGAAGCACCACCCCGACCACCTACACCTCCTCGTCCACCGCCTCCTCCACCTCTGCCACCACCGCTGCCTCCGCTAGCACCGCCGCTGCCTCCGCCGCCTCCGCCTCCACTGCTGCCACCGACACCTCCACCCCCGCCACCACTCCCACCGCCACCCCCACTCCCTCCGCCGCCTCCACCGCCACCTCCACCGCCCCCGCTAGCTCCACCCGCACCCTTGCCCCCCTTGCCCTTGCCAGAGCGGCGTCTCCCGCTAGGGGCGGACGCCGCACCGACCGACTCAAGACCAACGAGGTCGGCCGCAGCGGCAGAGGCGACACCGGGCAGAAGGGGGGAAGAGAACACCCCTCAAAGATGGGGGTGCGAGGGTCACCACGAGAGGCTCCTACAGCGACGATGCTCTTCTCCGCTGCTAGGAGGGCCTTCTCTAAGAGGTCAACAGTGACAGTGGTGGGACAGACCGAGAGGAAGTGGTCCCTGACTACACGAAGGGATTCAGGGAGGCGGGTGACTATAAAATAGAGAGTGATATACATGGGGGGGGGGGGGGTTCTTGGCGCAGAACTCAGCAGGAAGCGCCGTGCGGTAGCGAGTGTCACTAGTGCGGAGGTGCGTAATGAGGTCAGCGACTGTGGGAAAGGCAGCAAGGTCAGGGAAGAGGAAGGGTAGCATGAGGCGGCTCAGTGTAGCAGTGGCAGGGGAAGAGTAGCGCGCAACTACAGCGTCGTACAAGGTCTGAGCACTCTTGTACTGACTAAAGTGCGCGTGCTCAGCGGTAGGCAGGTGGCGACGCACAGCAAGACGTGCAGCAGCATCGCGCGTGGCCCACTGGGAGCAAACAGTGGGGTCAGCATCAGCAGCAGGGGCAAGAGAGGGGCCAGAGGTGAGGTCAAAGAGAGAGAGACCGTCTGCCCTATCGCACTGTAAGTACAGCTGCAGGTCGTCGACCCAGACCTCAAAGTCAATGGCGCGACCCTCAACGTCAAAGGCGAGGACACTAGGGGTAGCCATGACAACAGTAGACTAGCAGTACCAACTGTAGGATAGGGGCAGTGCAGTGACAGAAGCGCTGTTCTCACCATACAGGGTATTTCGGGCGGTTGAGCAGCACATCAAAAAACGGCAACACTGCTGCTCGGACGGCTCAGCCGCAACTACGGCTCGGCGGTACCAGCGGCTCGGCTCCTCAGGCGGCTCGGGCAACTCGGGCGGCTCGGCTCCTCAGCGGCTCGGGCGGCTCGGCTCCTCAGCGGCTCGGGCGGCTCGGGCGGCTCAGCAGGGTCGGGCAGCTCGGGCGGCTTAGGCGGCTCGGGCGGCTCGGCTCCTCAGCGGCTCAGGCGGCTCCTCAGGCGGCTCGGGCGGCTCGGCTCCTCAGCAGCTCAGGCGGCTGGGGCGGCTCGAGAGGAGCGGGCGGTGAGGGGCGGCGGGGCCGCAAGGTAGGTGGCGGGGCCGCAGTAGGAGAGGCGGCGGGTCCGCAGAGAAGGGCGGCGGGGCCGCAGCGAGAGAGGTGGCGGGGCCGCGACGAATGGCGGCGGGCCCGCAGTGGGAGAGGCGGCAGGGCCGCAGTGAAGGGCGGCGGAGCCGCTGAGAAGGGCGGCGGGGCCGCTGCGAGAGAGGCGGCGGGGCCGCAACGAAGGGCGGCGGGGCCTCAGTATGAGGCGGCGAGGCCGTAGCGAAGGGCGGGGGGCCGCTGAGAAGGGCGGCGGGGCCGCAGCGATAGAGGCGGCGGGGCCGAATCGACGGGCGGCGGGGCCGTCAGGGTGGCGGGGCCTAATCGACGGGCGGCGAGGCCGTTAGGGCGGCGGGGCCTAATCGACGGGTGGCGGGGCCACTAGGGCGATGGGGCCGCTAGGGCGTAGGGGCCGCTAGGGCGGCTCGACGAAGTGAGAGCCCGGAGCGCGAATCAGGCTGAGTGCGCTTCGGGCAGAAAAAAAAAAAAACTCGATGTGGTGGGCCCTAGGCACAGTTCCCAGGGGGGAACCTGCTCGATACCATGAGGAAAGTAGAACGAGAATGAAATGACTATGGAATGCAAGTGATACAAATTTGCAACCCTAGAAATGTGTACCCCATATGAGCTACCCCACTACAGCCTACACAAGATTATAATTTGACACACCCTCACTAAGATCGAGTGCAACCTCCTTGTTGTTGACGCCGCCAATGCTGTAGTGCCTCCCCGTCTCTTTGAGGGGTGCGCTACACCCCAGCTTTCCATGTTCACTTCTTCTCTTGCCGTTACTGCGTTGTCTAGTTCTGAGGAGACTGGATCTGTTTTTATCGCTAGTGGGCAGAAACAGGGGCAAGGAAGGTAAGGGAGGAGGGAAGGGTGATGGCGGCGTATTGACGCGAATCGGGTATTGGCCCCGCCCTCGCTTGGGGGAAGCCGATCTTGTGGTCGGGTGCGGGAGGTGCGGCCGATCGTGCAGTTCGACAAGGTGGTTAACCTGCAAGCGACTGTTGCATTACGGCCGTCGATGGGAGCCAGTTGTCTATTTCGAAGGGGAGTTCGTTGAAGCAATTCGTCGACCTGCATGGGACTTTTGAGAGGCCGTCGAAGATGGGAGTTCGATGGCTTTTGTTGACCGAGTTGGTCGTCGGACGTCAACCAGGGTGTTCTTCGATGGAAGAAGTGGTCGACAAGAGAGGTCGTCGACCAGGGTGTCGGATGGTCGACCCAGTCGACCAGGTAACCCGCTCGGCAAGGTTCTACGGAGGCATGCAAGCGTCGTCGATGCTGCGATGGCGAAGGTGACTTCGGGCTGGTATCCCGAGGTCGATGTGGCTAATCAGGCGCAGAGAACAGCCAACGGACACGTGATGGTGCACATCGGGCCAACAGTCCGCAGGCACTTGCAAAGTAGGTGCGCGCGTGTGCACTGCTGTCATCTGCGGGTGCAACATTGGACAGCCGCTTTGCTGCAGCATTGGCGCGCCATCGACTTGCTCAGTTGGGAAGCCGCCTTTTGGCAGCGCAGGCGCAAATCATCTACGCAACGCTGACAGGCTGTCAACCTTGCTGTGCACCCCGGCAACCCAGGTGACAGGCGACCCAGGTGACTGGCGGACATGATCTTGGTCACCCCGCCGCTCGTTGGTCGACAAGACATACTCACCTGGAAGGAAGCCATCGAGCCCCAGCTGGAGATGGCCGGATTGATCAACTTTGCTCGAGGTACTGTGGCGGCGCCAGACGACCCCGACTTATGTGCGGAGTTCCGCGCAGTGCAACTGTTAATCTTCATGGTCATCTCGCGATGCTGCTCGCCGGGCGTGCAGATCGCCTTGAAGTGGTGTCTGGAGTACCTCGACGCCGGCCACCAGGCGTGGCACTTCATTAAGTCGACCTACCTAGTCACCAACGACCTGTTCATCGCCCAGCTGGAGGGAGAGCTGACACACCTGCGTATGGGCGACGAGGAGACGGCGACCGACTACTACAACCAGGCCAGGCGAATTCTCGCCACCATCAGGATGGCCGGCGCGCAGTACTCGACGGCATCGTCCGTCACCCACGTCATGCAGGGACTTTTGAGCAATCACAACCTCCTAAAGCGGTCAATGGCGCCGAGCACAAGGACGACACTCAACGAGGACAACTTGACCTCGTACATCCTTGAGGACGAGGCGATGCAGGAGGCAGAGCGGTCTCAGGAGCTCTTAGCGCAGGCAAACTTCAGCACGGACAGTCTGGCGAAACAAGGAGGCCGACCGGGGCAGCACAAACAGTCTGGCGGCGGTGGTAGCAGTGGCTGGAAGCCGACCAAGGAAGTCGACAAGAAGAAGTCGACCAAGGACAACGGTCGAAGAGGAGGAGGTCGACGTCGGGAGTGCTAGCTGTGCGGCAACCCTGACCACCTCTCCTTCGAGTGGCCCGACCGCACTGACTCCGACGACGACGACGCCAAAGGAGACGAAGTCGACCAAGTCGACCTCGGCGAAGGACGCCGACTCCTCTGCTGGCGGCAAGGGGCGAGACGACAAGGAGGCGTCGTGCTCGCTGATCGGCGTCGTGGAGCCGACCGTCTCGATGGCGCCGGAGGCTGGCGAGGACTTCCAGGCAGTGGCGGCAGCTGTGCAGGCGAACCTGTCGGTGGTCCTGCTTGACAGCGGCTGCTCCCACCATCTGATGGGGATGAAAGAGGCCTTCGACGACTTGGGGCCAAGTGGCAACGTGAAACACGTGCGCGGCTTCAATGGGGCGTTGCAGGACGTCCAGGGCCGCGGCACTGTCACTCTGCAAGGGGAGACCGGAAACAGGTGCTCATCCCCGACGTGCTCTACGTTCCGGGCGTGCGAGCGAATCTGCTGTCGGCTGGCCAGCTGAAGGAGAATGGCGTGAAGCTGCAGGAGGATGGCGACGGGATGTTGCTCATCTCGGTAGCTCCAAAGGTGCTCGGTCGGGCGACGTACTCCGGGCGTGTCCTCTGCACCGACTTGCGTCCCTGCTCAACGAGGTCGACGTCGCCTACGCCGAAGGTTGTGGCCCTGCGGGCAATTGCCTCGAAGACGAAGTCGACGCCAGACAGGATGCATGTAAGGCTTGCGCACGTCCGCAAGGACACCATACCAAGCTTAGCAAAGCACGGGGTCGCTACTGGGCTAGACCTCAAGTCGACGACGGGCGCCGACTCACCGTGTGTCTCGTGCGTCGGCGGGAAGCTGCCATGGCACACCTTCCCCAACCAAGGCTCCGACGCCGACGATGTGCTGGCCGTCGTGCACATCGACCTGTGCGGGCCGTTCCGCGTGGCTGCCAAGCACGGCAACTTGTACTTCTTGCTGCTGAAGGACCGCAAGACCCGCTACGTATGGGTGAGGCCGGTCGCCAAGAAGTTGGATGTGCTGCTGGAGTTCCAGAAGTGGCTGGTGTTGGTGAAGAGGCAAGTGAAGAAGTCGGTGCTGATGCTGCGCTCAGACCGGGGAGGGGAGTTCCTTGGGAAGAAGTTCACCAACTTCGTGGACGGAAAGGGGATCGTCCACGGCCGAACCTGCCCGTACACCCCACAGCAGAACAGCATGGCGGAGCGGGAGATGAGGACGGTGGTAGAGTCGGTGCGAACGATGCTGCTGCACATGGGCGTGCAGCACCACTGGTCCACAACTGCCTTGAGAGGTTGACGCTGCCGCCGAGGACAACGCCGTACCAGCTGCTCACCAGGCAGAAGCCCGACCTGTCACTGGCACAGGTGTAGGGCTGCATGGCACGGTTCCTAGTCCCCGAGCAGCAGCGTGGTGGGAAGCTGCAGCCGAAGGCCAGGTGGGGCCTTCACCTCGGTGTGTCGACGGAGAGCAAGGGCTGGGAGCTCCTCGACATCGACGCCAACCGGGTGGTCACCACGTCGGACGTGGTGTTCTACGAGGATTTGATGCTGAAGGTGTGGAAGTCGGAGCACGGGCCAGCGTCGGGCGGGGCGCCGACCACCCCGCCGACCGATACCTCGACGGCGACGCTGCCTTTGCTCGCCAAGGTCGGTGAGCTTGCTGATGCGGACGATGAGGTCGGCCCCTCCTTCATCGACCACCAGGTCAGGTCGACCACCAGCAAGTCGACCAGCAGGTCTGGTCGACCAACCGCCAGGTCGACCAGCAGTCCTATCAGCCGACCACCCAAGTCGGCTACCCCCAAGTTGGCGTCACCAAGTTGACGCCCTCCGCAGGTCAACTTCCTAGGTCGACCTCCCTGAAGTCGGCGCCACCCTAAAGTCGGCGCATAGTGGGGTAGCCCATAAGGGGTACAACCCAAATAGGGTTAGTACTTGTACCAAACTCTTTCATAGTTCATTCATTCTCGTTGATTCTCACATGGTATCAGAGCAGGTTCCCCTGTGGGAACTGTTCCAAGGGCCCACCGATTCGATTTTTTTTTCCTGCCCGGAGCGCGCTCAGCCCCTGCCTGAGTTGCGCTCCCCTCTCTTGACCCGGTCGCGCCGCCTTAGCGGCCCCGTCGCGTCGCCCTCGCGGCCCCATCCCGTCTCGCCGCCCTAGCGGCTGCGTCGCGCCGCCCTCGC